GTTTCCGCAGTAGTCAGTAAGTTAAAAATAAGTAGCTTTGAAACAATCTCTGGTAGAACAGGAGAAATTTTTCCCAGGTACTATGTGGCTAAGTGCAATGAATAACATAGCAGAATGAATGACAATTTAATTACTAGTCAGAAAGAAAAGTATAATACAGATATAATTTAATCCCCCTCATTCATGCTTTCTTGGGAACAAAGTGTTCTAAACAGCTTAAATATTAAATATTGTTTAATAGTAGCACCAGCAAGGGAGCTGAAACCAGCTGGCCTCCATTAGAGTTCCAAAAGTAGATTGGTGATTCACCTAAAATGCATCAGTCTTCCACAAAAACTTGGCGAGTATAATTACCACATATTTTAATTTATGCAGTCATGATGTATTAGTGACTACAGCTGTCCTGGTCAGCCTACTTCTTTTGTCAATGTGGGTAATCTTCCTCACATACAATAATTTAATGTGATGTCTTTTTAGTTGTATCTCTGTGATAAAGTGAATGAAGAAAAATAGTTAAAATGGTTGGTGTGTCCAATTACAAAATATAATTTGAAGGAAAATAGCAAGATTATGGCCAATAATCTCATTTTAGCATCCCAGGATGCTCCATACTATTCCAGTTTAGCTTTGTCCTTTTTTGAAGTACATATCCAGCAATAAGTTACGTAATGCTCGCTCTCTATTTTTTTTTATTTTTTTGTAAGAATGAATTGGGCAATATGAAGCTCAGGCATTCTTGTTGCTCTGTTTGTAGTATGATAGATGCTATCTATTAGCATCTAAACAATTAAAAATCTTAGGTAGGGCAGGGAACCTATTGAGTAGAAAATACTATGGGAATATAACCATGTACAAATATTATATTGCTTATTCCTGTGCCAAATGAAATCCTTTCCTGTCACAGTGATAGAATTTGAGAAAGGGAAAAAATCTAATTCTATAATTTCAGGAAATGTATATTCCAGGATTCCAAAGTATTTGGGCAATTAATTTTGCTGCAGTAGTGATAGAGTCTCTCAGCAAAGCCCAATAAAGTACCTGGGATACAATTTCAAAATGCAACTACGTCTCAAAAGCTAATATACTTACACAATCTGGAGACATGAGGGATACATGTTAATGATTATGCTATTGATTAAAGGAGCTGGAGATGCCATTATTCTTAAGATGCTCCAATATGTTGGAAATATGAAAGGTAAAACTGAATAAATTGTTCTTACAACTTCTCACTTGGCAAGGAGTTTTATAGAAGGCAAAATGCTGCTTCCACTCTTAGCCAAATGTAGGCACATTTGTCCACAATAATAATCCATGTCTTAGAATAGATTAATGAAATTAGCATGTGATACCATGCAAGTAATCCTCAAGTTATAACTATAATGGAGGCTGCCCATTATGGTTGTAAGTCATTAATTGAACAGAATAGTTGTAAGTGCAAATGCTGTAGTTGTTAAAGAAACCTATTGCTTGTTATGGTGCAGGTTTGCTAAAAACTGGAAGTGCAGGTTTTCAGCCAAACCATTATAAAACATAATCAGGTGACTTGTGGGATGCTGCAAATGGCAATAAAAGTACCAAGTACACAACTGTGACTATGGGGATGAGGGCTATCTGAACTTTGGGTCTTTTTATAAGTCCCATTTTACAGGTAGGTCATAACTGGTTACTAAGCGATTGGTTGTAAGTCAAGGACTGGCAGGTGCAAGACATCATGAGCTGGGATAGGGTTCAAAAGTACTACAAGTTTATTCCATGCTACCTATACACAAGAATCTGATCTATTAATGGTCAAGGCAAATTGCGCCAGATAAGTCTCAATAGATTTTAAGGAGGGCTGGACTTAGATCTCTTTGGGGGGCATAGAGACTCCAAACTAAAAATTTGATCCCACCCTGATCATCTCCTACAAGGATGTAATTCATAATTCATGTAATTCATAATTAAACATTCAGAATAATGACAGATTCTGTTTAATAAATCAATTATTTTTTACACCTCATCTTTGGATTGTCATAAGTAAACTAGAATTCTATGTTTAAGTTTTTGACAAGTTTCTTAAATGGAAAATGATGTGGAAAAGAAGTGCATAAACATAGTGTTTAACAAAACCATTCTGAGGTAAAAGGTAATTTATAATATATTATCACAAGAATGCTGAATACAATTTCATATACTTTTTTTTTTCTGGAGAAAATTAAATTCTGTCCCAAAATTATCAGTCACACTAATTTGATCTCATTTAAAAGAAAGTCAATTACTCATACAATTCCATCCCCAAATACTTAATTTTTAAATAACAAATAGTCAGGTATACAGCTTGAATAATTTATAATAAAAACTGTCATTTCATCAACTATTAGTTGATTAACACGTACTCATTCAGCTGAGTACTGAGAATCTCAGTTAAGGACAATAGATGATGGCATTTTGAATTGTCTGTCTCTTATACCCCATTATAACCTATTATAATATAGGGTATTATACCCCATATTACATAATGGGGTATACCTTATTTAAGTGTAAATAGGGTATTTACTTTATTTTATATATATATACTCTACATGTCCTATTTAAGTGCATACCCTATTTATACACTTGTAACTTCCTGAAATACTTAGGGTTGCCAGGTCTGCTTCCAAAAAATAGCGGACAAGCGGGGGGGGGGGGTTCAGTAGTAAAAAAAGTAGACTGTACAGCTTTAGATTATGTACCATTTCATCATAAAGCTTTTGAATAAAAAAAATGTCCACTATTTTGTGAAAAAAAATAGTGAACATAATGTGAAAAAAGTGGACTGTCCGCTCAAATAGTGGACACCTGGCAACCCTAGAAATACTAATTGTATCCCTGCTTATATGTTATCTTGCTATTTATTTTGGTTGCTTGTATCTTACCTTTCAGGATAGCAATCCATAAAAACCAAGAAACAATAGAGGGAAAATATATTTTAAAAAGCTACTTTTGAGTTTGGCTGCAGCTAACTATAGGGACAATGGTGTGGAAATGTTGTTTTACTTCCTGATTTCTCATCCTATCCCAATCATATTATGAGTGATATCTGTTCACTTTCTGCTCTTACAAAGACAAATAGAGAATGAAATAAACTGATTAACAGCTAATTTAAATATTTAAATTTAAATATATTTAAAATAAGCTAATTTTAATTGTCAGACTGGCACATTTTGAATATTTTTAAGCCTTTTTTTCTTGAAAGAAATCATGAATTAGAAGCAACACAATACTTTCCTATATAAAGTGCAAAATTGTTTCTTGGGAACTATAATTAACTTTAACCATTACACCAAACTGGCCTTCTCCTTGAATATATTCATTCATAAAATTTTGGCAGAGCAGAATGTGTCTTGCATTATGTAATTTTTTTCATTGTTTTAAATAATTAACAGAAAATGCCAACATATATCACTAGTGCTCTTTTGCTTCTACTATGGAATATAAATATGAATACAAAGGGACAGAATACACAGAATACTGAAAGGGTTAAACTTTTATTTGATTAATTCACTCCCAGCATATTCTTGATGCCTCTTACTCCTGTTTTTATTTCTTTAAAGTTGGTTGTTAGAGTAATGCAATCCTTCACATGGATCCTTTAAACCTATGTATTTGGAAACCCAGAGGGGAACCCATAAAACTCTATTGTAAAAAGATATTGGTACATTTCCCGGTAAAGCAAAACACAGTAAGCACATTATCAAGAACATGGTGCTACTGCCATGAAGGGGATGGGTGGATTTTTATGGGTCTGTATTTATATTGCAATTTTTAACGTTGCAAGCCTCCTGGAGTCACCTATGTATGAGTTGGGCAGCCATATAAATTTGTTAAACAAACAAATAAACATTCCAGTTCCCACTTGACAATTCCAGATGACTTGGACTGGGAGGAGCTGATTGATATCAGATAGTAATTCTGTGAGATGCTCATGCTTACTATTATTGCTCTTTGATCCTGCCCTATTTGGTACTCTGAAGCTGCAGTCCCTTAGCTACAGAGCCTATTGTATCACATATCCTCTTGCTATGTGGATTCGGAAGATTCTCTAACAGTCAACATGGCACATCTAAAAAGAAAACGTTATTGTTTAGTAAGGCTAAAGCAATTTAAAATTGTGATCTTTTGACAGTTAAAGTAGGCACCTCTTATGTTTTACTTAGTACCCCTTTCCACTTGCTAATACAAAAATTGCTCGATATAATCCAACATATGATTATTTACATTTTTATCATTTCAGTTCTGAGAAACTCTACCTCCTAATGCATCTCAAACAGGCATAGCTATCATTTTCATATGGTACTTAGCATAGTACAATTTATTCAACCAAATCTGCACCCTGAATCCTAATGTAGGTTGCCTAATTTTGTATTAATTTAGCCAGCTCTACCTTCTTTAGCAACCCATGGCTTAGTGCAATCTGTGAATCTTTCATGCGTGTGGTTTCATATATATATATAAATCTGGAATATGGCATTTATAACTTTCCTGAACTTCTCATCTACAATTCCTGGCATCTGTCACCGTTAATACAAATAACAGCACTACAATATTTGGAAAATTTCCAAATTATTCTTAACATAAACAGATCAACATTTTAACATGATAAAAATGTATATAAACCAGACAAGCAGGCATATTCAAAAAGCAGGATTTTAGAATCCACTCTTTTATTAATGGAAAATAAACATGGAATGTATTTAATAGTACAAATATTTATGAACATGAGAGAGCTGGAATTGAACAATAGAAGAAAAAATTCTTGTATCTTGTTAATTATTAAAATTAACTGGGAAATAAATCTTACAACCTTCAGAATCATGATTTTCACTTTCTGGCCTGAAATATTTGATACGGATGCTTCTCTTCCTGATTTTCAATAGCTAAACTGAGCTATATTTGCAAATAAACCTTTTTTTGCTTACAGTAGAAGCATTTATTTTCAGTAGAGCTCCTATAGGGGAAATGTCTTTTTTTTTTTTTTTTTTTTTTTTTGCACAGTAGCGTCATAGAATGGGGGAAGGATGTAGCACAAAGGGACTTTTTTCTTCTTCTTGAAGAGAATACAATGCAGGCAAAAGTCTTGATTAATTCTGCAAATAGATTTAGATGGTAATTTTGCTCATATCTAGATGGTATTTTCATAAACTTCAAATTTATACTGGATTCCATTCTCTTCCTGGATATCAACAGAGATACCTACATAACTTGAGAGAGAAATAATAATTTAGTGGATATTTTTTAAATTGAAAGT